CGAAGCAAAATCATGCGTGGCCGTGCATGCGCAATTCTACATACATGCGATGTGTTTGCATAATTCCACTTTTTGTGCAACGAGTTGCCATTTGGGCCCCGACCCCGCCAAAACAACAAATTGGCGCGCCCTGGGAAAAAACAAAGGGGCTCAAGGTCCGAGGAAGAAAAACAGCCATCCTCGGCGATGGGGTTCGGGAGCATAATGGCCCGCAACCCAAGGTTCCGGAGCCGTTTCGGGACCGTTTCGACAACCCTTTCGAAACCGTTTCGGAAACCATGTCGGAAGCCATTCCGGAGCTGGGAAACAATTTCGGAAGCCTTTTCGGAAGCCGTGTCGGAAGCCGTTTCGGAGCCGTTTCGGAAGCCGTTTCGGAAGCCATTTCGGAAACCGTTTCGGAAGCCGTTTCGGAGCCGGTCCGGAAGCCTTTTCGGAACTGTTCCGGAAGACATTTCGGAAGCCGTTCCGGAGGCCGTTTCGGAAACCGTGTCGGAAATTGTTTCGGAAACCGTGTCGGAAACTGTTTTGGAGACCGTGTCGGAAACCATGCGGGAAGCTGTTTCGGAAACTGTGTCGGAAACCGTTTCGGAACTGTTTCGGAAGCCGTTTCGAAGGACGTGTCGGAAGCCGTGTCGGAAGCCGTTTCGGGGGTTGTCTCGGAGGCAATTTCAAAGGCCGTTTGGAGGTTGCGTCGGAGGCCGTTTCGGAGCCTTTTCGGGAAGCCGTTTCGAAGGCCGTTTCGGAGCCTTTTCGGGAGGCCGTTCCGGAGCCTTTTGGGAGGCAGTTTCGGATGTCGTTTCGGATGCCGTTTCGGATGTCGTTTCGCAGGTCGTTTCGGAGGTCGTTTTTGAAGCCGTTTCGGATGTCGTTTTTGAAATCCCTCCTCCCCTCCTCTCCTCTCCTCCTCTCCTCTCTCCTCTCCTCTCCTCCTCTCCTCTCTCCTCTCCTCTCCTCCTCTCCTCTCTCCTCTCCTCTCTCCTCTCCTCTCCTCTCTCCTCTCCTCTCTCCTCTCCTCTCCTCTCCTCTCTCCACTCCTCCCTCCTCTCCTATCTCCTCTCCTCTCTCCTGTCACCTCTCTTCTCTCCTCTCCTCTCTCCACTCCTGTCTCCTCTCCTCTCTCCTCTCCTATCTCCGATCCTCTCCTCTCTTATATCCTATCTTCTCTCCTCTCTACTCTCGTCTCTCCTCTCCTCTCTCCTCTCCAATGCTCTCCTGTCCCCACTAAAAACCTGGACTTTTCAAAGTCCGGGTTTTTCATTGCAAATCCCCCCAAACCCAGACTTTTGAAAGTCCGGGTTTTGATTTTTTGATTTCCGGGTTTTTCCTCCCTCCCGGGACCCCCCCTGGGACCCCCCCCGGGACCGCCCCCCTGGGACCCCGGGCCCCCCCCGGGAACCCCCCGGGACCCCCCCCTCCAACCCCCCGGGACCCCCCCCCCTCTGGGGAAGGGATCAAAGGGAAGGAGCTTCCCTTCGACTCGAGTACGACACTGCTCGATTATTCTCTCGCTCGCGAGCTTGAGACGGAAGCTGCAGGGAAAGGGGACGACGGAGGCGACGACCGACGGAGACGACGACTCGAACAGCCAACCCCCTCGCACACGCCGACAGGGTCGGCGGATTTCGTGGCCCTTCTTCTCCTTTCAATGCGTTCCCTGGCCCCCCCTTGGCCGCGCACGTGCCACTGATCATGATTTGTGAACCCCCTCTCGGACGCCCCCCCCTTGGACGTCCCCGACTGTCTAGATCGTGGACCTGATGGCGCTCCGCGAAGGCGTCCGTCCACCGCCCTCGTCGGCGGCGGGGGAGCGTCATGGCGCGCCGTCCCGTTCGGTGGAGCGGGTGCAGTCGGGCGTCGGGCTGGGCTGCCGCCGAGTCGCCCGTGACAGCAAGGGGTGTTGTGGTCCACATGGCCGATGGCCGATGCACCCGCGAGTCTTCGCGCGATCTGCTCTTGAACGGCTCGGTCTTGGGCCAGAACTTTCTCTCCGCCTTTCGCATCCGGACAGGTGTGTCTTTGAGCGGGACGGTCGTTCACACTGTGACTTCTGGATTGCCTCTGTATCGCAGAAGAAGGGAAACACACAGACACAATCAATCGTCGACTCCCAGGAAAATATGGGAAAATATGGGAAGTGGGGGGAAGACAAAAACTCAGAAAATATTTGAAAATATCGGGAATCCTGGGATTTGTATGTGTATTTGTGTGTGTATTGATGTGTGTGTCCTTAAATGTATTTTCAGAAGGAGATGCCAGGCCACCGTTGTTCCTCCTCCTTCACCTCCCCTTTCCCTTCATCTTCCTGCTCCCACTTCACTCTCCCTTTACCGCCCCCTTTCTTTTTTCCTCCTTCTTCAAAGGATTCTCTTTCCACCTCCCTCCCCTCCAACTTACGTCTACGCCACTTCCGAGCCCCATTTGGATCCCCTTCGTCCGAGGAGTTCGGAAGGATGCACGGCCATGGTACGATGCGGTACGCCAACGGCGACCTGTACATCGGTGAGGCGTTCCGGAGAAGGGTATGTACTCGCGGCAAGCTCGTGCGATGGCAGTGATGATGACGATGGAAACATACATGTATATAAGTGTGTGCACATAAGCATAAACATATGCACATGCATCCGTACACATATATAGATACACATATACACGCATATTCGTATATGCGTGCATGTATATGTGTATATGAGTACCTGTGTCTTTGCATATTCGAATACGTGAATTGTTATGGCTGTACATCATTATATATGTGTATCGTTGTTATGTTTTTTGTTTTCTGACGAATTTATATATATATATATGCGCTTCTCTGAAACCCCATTCCACTTCCACTCGGCCGCCGCTTCCGCGGCTCAAGTGCATGTTTGGCGGCGCCACAAATCTATGGGGCTTCTCTCGAGTGTGGCCGGGGTGGCATCCCTGGCGTCTCCTGTGCTGCGGCCGCTGGCCGAAGAAACGCTGACCTGCTCGATCCAGTCCACGGTCCTGGGCGGTCCCTATCAGATCTGCAGCGTGTGCCTCGCCCTTGGTGTGCTGCTCGGCGTAGTGGTCACGCTGGTGTTCCAGGCTTGCTCTCATGTCGGTGTCGCTCGGCTATCAGCACTTGCTGGGCGGGCGCGAGGTGCAGGTGAAGTATCCCGACGAGCCTCGCCTGTGGCATCGCCGCGTGGTGATGTGCCGCTGTCCGTTCGAGGTGCATCGTCGGGTGATGGAGGGCGAGCCGTGCACGGATACCAGCTTGATCTACTGGATCATTACGCCCGACTTCGGCGTCTACCCCGAGGAGTTGTCGGTGCCGCCCTTGACGGGCATCGTGGGCACCACGCCAGACTTGGTCCTCGTTCCAGCATCGGGGATCGGCCGCACCACACACTTGAATCGGGTGTGCGCGCTCTCGCCACTCCCGACGCCCGCGGCTTTCGCGGAGGCTCTGCGAGCTTGTCTGGGCGAGATAGCCCAGGGCGGTGGTCCTCGTCGGCGTCTTCGGGGTCGTCAGGCGGATCGCGCAGCCCTTGGCGCTGACGGCGCTGCGGAGCAGGTCGTGGCCGCGGCGGTGCCGCTGCCTCCGCCCGCTCGCAGCCCAGAGGAGCAGGCTGTGCTCGACCTGATGAAGGACGTGGCGTTGGCGCCAGGAGTCGGCCATCTGCCCCCGCTCTAGGCGGGTGGCGGCGCGTCTCCAGCAGCGGCCTCGGCGACTCAGACTTCACCTCTGGCGCGAAGGACAAGTACCTGTATGCGCCTGGCATCGCGCTGTTGAGCCGCAGTGGGGAGTTGATGGTGCTTGTCGATAGTTCTGATACCGCAGCTGCCGCCACGCCAGAGCTGGACGCCAGGCTCCTTGAGATCTCTCACGACTAACTGGTTGCACCGGGGGCGTATGGGGCAGCTGGCCGTTGACGGGCCCGCGCAAGGTGATGTGGTGCTTGACCTTCATTGTCCAAACGAACGGGCATCCGAGGGTCAGGCGAACGTGGTGGAAGCATACCTGTCGGCTCACCAGCGGCGACCCAGGGGTCTCAGACCACGACGCGGCCATGAAGGGTGGGAATACATGCTCACGTATGACCAGCTCAACGCTCCAGAGTTAGTCTTCGCTTAGGCTCTTCCTGAGGCGGGCGCAGCTGGCCGAGTTCAGGTGCCGGCGCCTTCTGCTGCGGCCCGACGACTACGGAGACGACCTGGCGAACGTTGAGTTTCTCTATCTCGGCCTCGGTGAGACCAGAGGGCAGATCATATTGTGCCCTGCCTTGGAGGAGCATGTCGCCGCCGAGCTCCACGGGGGGGGCACGGTGGCCAAGGAGCGGCGCAAGCTGCGGGAGGAGCGGAAGCTGGCCCGCGCATCTCCTTGAGTGGTGCCCAGCCAGGCGGCCGCGGCGGCAGTCGCATTGGCCGCCGACCCACTGCGCTCGTTGGTGAATGCACCTTCTGTCAACGCGAAGGCCAAGGTGAAGTCGCAGGGGAAGGGCAACGAGGCCGCGGCGGGACTTGCCGCCGCGCCTGAAGTACGACTGCCACGTGGGCCAGCTTGCCCGACCGGCCCGCGATATCAGGGCTTCAGCCCAGCGCGAGAGAGCTCCTCCCGATGGCGGTGCCGTTCTGCGACGTTGCGCAGATTAATTCGGATGGGTCTGGTTCTTTGCCACGGAGGCTGCGGCTGAAGGTGTCAGGCTGTTCCAATCGTCAATGGGGCTTTCGCGCGCCCGGCGCGAGGCCCATCGGCATCTCTCTGACGTCTTTCGAGCTGTTCCTCCTCCACCGTGCGCGGCCGTGGAAGCCTTCAAGGAGCTCTGCGGCGTTCGAGCGGGATGTGATGGCGCTGATCCCCGCTTTGCTTTCCAGTGTGAGTTGATATCGTTGCCCTCTCGGGGCGGAACTGCCGGCGGTGCCGAGGCGCTGACGGGCTATTCCCTGAGCCGCTGGAACACTGGCGTCAAGGCGCTCATGCGGATCGACCAGGACATGGCTGATGCGACCAGACGTCCCGCGAAGCCTTATTCCGATCCCATTTTGATTAGGGGCAATCTAATGTTTGCGAAGCTGATGGCCGATACGCACTCCCTGGGGCTGTGCCCACTGCGGCCGCGCCAAGCATCGGCAGTTTACGTATTTTTGTCCGAAGGAAGAATGGCATGCAGCGCGTGATTCTGGACGCTAGGCAGGTGAATGCAAGATTCTAGGAGGCAGAGCACGCGGCCCTTCCGACGCCAGGTGCTTGGGCCAGCGTCGAGCTGCAGCCTGAGGGCGAGCTGGTTTTCGCGCAGATGGACGTGGAGTGCGCGTTCTATCGCGTCCGCGCGCCTCCAGGAGTATCTGTTCATTCTGTCTTGCCTCGCGTTCCAGGCCGGCTGATCCGTCTACTGGCGCCTGGGTGCGATGCCTCGGACGCCGATTGGATCGGCCCACGCCTTGAGGTCATGGCCATGGGATGGTCGCGGGCGCTGCGCCTCTGCCGAGAGATGGTTGCGGCGTCAGTTCAGAAGGTGGGCACTCCCACCAGCCAATTCTTCAAAGACTAGAGGCCAGCTCCCGACCTGACTGTGACTGACGCACAGGTGGCAGCGGCCGTTTACGTTGACAACGCTGCCATCGCTGGCACTGGCGAGAAGCGGGTCACTGTCGCGGCAGGCGCGGTGTTCCGGCAGTTGGAGGCCGACGGGTTCGACTGCAAAACGATTGAGCACGGGCCCGACATCGCGCATTTCACTGGCTTGGACATGCGTGGCGCCTCTGGCCGCATACCGGCGGGCCATTCGAGGTGCTAGAGGGTCGCGCTCGCCTTGTCCCACGTCTTGGCGGTAGGGCGTGCTAGCGGCTTTCTGGGCATTGCACATGGTCGGCTATCCTCCGACAGCGTTTGTTCTCGCTGCCGCGTGCGTTTTCGCTTCGTGGACAAGGCGTGTCAGGGCCGGGTGCCCTTCCGGCCGTCCGTTCGACGTGGGCTCGAGTGGATGGTGTCGCTGCCCCCGTTGGCTTACGCCGATGCCATGCGCCCCTGGTCTGGCTACGTGGCCGCGACAGACTCCGAGGGCGCCAACCTGATCGACGACGGGGGTTTCGGCGTCGTTCGTAAGTTCCTGGGCGCGGAGCAGGCGCGGGCTTGGGGGCGGCAGCAGGAGCGATGGCGCTTCGCTGTGGCCGACGCGGTGCAGGCTCGCGCGGCGGCGCTGGCCGCCGCTGCCAGCCCGCGGCGACGGCGGCAGGCGCCGGCGCCGAGGCCGCCACCTCCTCGGACTTGGGCGTCACCTTCAACCACCTTGACCGCAGCGTCATCGGCGACTTCAGAGGCTGGCAGCTGCGAGTCAGGGGCCGCTGGCGACGCGCAGAGGGCATCGCGTCAACGGAGGGGGCGGCTATGGTCATTGCCGCCCGAGACACGCTTCGGTCAGCCGAAAGCTTCCATCCTCGTCGCGCCAACGTTGGAGATAATCTTGGATTTATCTTGGCACGCGGGAAGGGGGGGCTACGCATGTCAGCGTCAGCATCAACCACCACCATCGTCAGCTTTGTGCATCCAGTCTCGCAGGTGACGCAGATTTGATCAGTCGTTGGGCCCCCAGCGAGGTCAACCCCGCCGAGGGGCCACAAGCGTTGGCGCCGACCCCCGCGACGCCCGCGGGCGCGTCGGCTCGGCCGACGCGCGGCGCCGCGTCCTTGCAGCTAAAATCGAGGCCCTTGCCCGCGACGAGCTCAGGCGCGGTGGTGCCACTAGAGCGGCCGCAGCCAGCTGGGGGGCACCTCCTCCGCTGCTCGACCTCACAGGTGCCGACGACGCCATCGGCGACGGGCATTCTGCGGCGAGCTCCGCCGACTCCAGCAGCTCCTCCGACAGCGAGGGGGCCTGAGCTGAGGTCGAGGGTTGGTGTCCTGCCAGTCAGGCGGCCCCCTGGAGGCGGCAGACTCGGCGCTGCCCAGCGCGCAGCAGCGACGGGCCCGCGCCCGACGGCGAGTCGAGGCTCATCGGGCTCATGCTTCGGTGTGCAGGGAGCTGGGTGCCTACTTCCTGGAGGTCAACCGGGTGACTCGCAACCCGGCGACGCTGTGCGATCGGTGCTTCTCCGACTTCCGCAATGTGGGCGGCCCTTGGCAGGGATGCCGCTGTCAACGCCTGCCGAGATCGACCTCGCACTCGTGGGGCATCTCGAGGACCTGTAATTCAGCGGGTTCAACCACGACGCGGGCGAGAAGGTGGTGGCGTGCGTGGAGTTCCGCATCCCCGAGCTGAAGATCCCATGAGGCACCGTGCTACCACGGGCAAAGAATGCTCTGCGGGGCTGTCGCCGCCTGCCGCCAGGTCTGAGCAGCGCCCCATTTCCTTGGCTTGCGTTCTTTGCGATGATGGGCTCGGCGATGGCGATCGGCTGGCGAGAGACGGCGTTTTGCCTCGTGAGAATGTTCAGCACGTACCTTCGCACTGCCGAGTGCCTGGCTCTGACTGGTGGGCAGCTCGCCCCGCCGCGCCCTGGCGCGGGCACCGCGTCATGGGCGCTACTGCTGGCGCCGTCGGAGCTGTCGGTGGCATCGAAGACCCACGAGTACGACGAGGGCCTGCTGCTCGAGAACGTGGAGTTCGGCCCCCATCCAGGACTGCTTCCACCGGGCGAAGGCAGCGCCGCGGACGCGGCCCCAGTGGTCCCTCGACTCTGTGACCTTTTCCAGAAACTTCGCCCAGCTGGTGGGGCTGGCCGACCCGTCGAACCTGCGCCCTCGCCCTTACATGCTCAGGCACGGGGGGGCGTCGGACGACGCCCTTCGGAACACTGGGGCCCTGGGGGAAGTGGAGAGGAGGGGCAGGTGGCAAGCAGACTCGTCAGTTCGAAGCTGCGAGAAGCACGAGCGCGTCCTGAAGCAGGCCGACAACGCGGCGGTTGCCGCCCGCGAGTACGGGCTGCTGGTCGGCAATCACCTGCTGGAGATCCTGGCGGGACTTCAGCCCCCCCCCGCAGCCGCCCAACATGAGAGCCGTGCAGCTGACTCAGGCAGGCGGCCGACGGCGCCGAAAGGCCTGACACCTGATCATCATGTGGGCACCGCTCGTGACAGACTGGCGGTGCAGGCGGTGCGGGGGCGGCTGCAGCAGCATCTTCGCACAGCTATGAGTCAATCGCCGGACGGCAAGCTTTTCCTTGATTGCTTCTCGGGAACCTCTCCAGTGTTGCACGCCTTGAACCGGCAGGGTGAATCAGGAATTGCCTTTGATAGTTTGCGAGGATTTGCTCCAGAGCACAGTGCGGGTCTGGTTGGTTTCTCAGCTTGCAGTCGCCTCGACACTCCTCTGTTTTTTCGAGGCGCCTGCTCAGCCGGTCTGGTCACCAAGCTGTTGCGCAGACAGAGTATGAAACACATCAGCTCGAAGTCGGCCTGTTGTACATGCAGCTCTTCGAGCTTGGCGCTCCAGGTTGGTGTGGGTGAGGGCGCGCCCGTTCTCTGAACCCCCTTCCGCTGCCACTCGGCCGCCGCTTCCGCGGCTCAAGTGCGCCGCCATCGTCCCCGCCGCTCGCCTCTCTTTTAAGCCGTCCACAGGAGGTTGTCTCAGGGAGGTTTCGCAGCTTGTAGTCGCCTCGAGATTCCCATTTTTTTTCGAGGCGCCTGCTCAGCCCGGTCTGGTTACCAAGCTGTTGCGCAGAGAGAGTGTGAACTAATCAGCTTGAAGTTGACCTGTTGTATATGCAGCTCTTCGCGCTTGGCGCTCCTGGTTGCGAGGGATGAGGAGATTTATGACAACTTGATTGGCGCAGCTGCCTTGGCGTAAGGGCTCGGGGTCACCAGAGTGCCCCCCCCCAGGAGCGCCTTCCTGGCCGCGACCGCGCTCCGCCTGACTGGACCTGCGGAGGCGCCCGCCGCCCCCGCTTGCCGTGGCGGCGGCGGCCCCCTTGCCGTGGCGGGCTGATGTGTGGCGCGGAGGGCGGCCCCGCGGCTGGCACTGGAGGAGGCGCGGGCGCTGTCAGCGGCCTCTTCGGCCACGGCGGAGAAGCTGGGCTGGGATGCTTCCTGGCGCTGCCCCCCTTAGCGCCGGAGGGCTCATGCCGCCGCCGCCGGAGCCGGCTGGCGTCGTCGCGGCGGCGCCGCCCGCGGCGCGCAGAGTGCCGCGAAGCCCCGGGTGGGCAGAGGCGGCAAGATCGGCATGGGCGGCATGGGCAAGCCCGCCTGGGGCGGCATGGGCAAGCCGCAAGCCCGCTGGCGCGGCTGGTGGGCGCGGCGGCTGGGCGCGGCTCAGGACGCGGTCGGGCCCGTGGCGCTGCGGCGGCCGTCGAGGATAGTGTATCACGCGGGTGTGGCATTTCGCCCATCTGCCTCTTCCAGTCGAAGGCCGAGGAGCTGATCCAACCGATGTCCTTCGTAGCCGCTAGAGTGACGCCCCTATGACTGACGCTCTTGGGCCAGGCGTAGGACTGGTTTGGCCATGCTCGCTTGGCTTGAGCTTGCCGCGCAATTTGCAGAAGCCCACTGTCGCATCTGGGGTCCACGACCATGAGCTCAATTGGGAAATCGGCTCGATCCACGCGGTGATCTGACTGTCGCCCAGTCCTCCAGGCTCGCATCGCGACGCCAATGTTGTGGAAGTGTCGCCAGACATCCTTCGCCACTCCCGCCTCGCGGCGGCTCGCGTCCGCCGGGCATGGCGAGGGGGGGCGCCTGTCACGCGCGTCCAAAGCGCGGATGCGCCTGCAGCGCGTGATTCGCTTCTTGGTCTTCAAGATGCGCTTCGCGAGGGTGGTGCGTCGTAGGGGCCGTCCTGCGCGTAGCTCGACTCCTAGTGCGTGTGGCGCCGTGGCTGCCATGACTTGTTTGCATGCCGAGCGTTTCGCAACTGCTCTAGCCACTCCCATGCCAACGTAGTTGATCTTCGCTTCCCCCCGGGACATGGACAACTCCGTGTGCAGCTTCCCGGTCTCGATGACCTTAGCCTTAAGCATGGAGGTGGTGGCGTTCTGGACGGTGAACTTCTTGCTGTCGATCAACTGTGTGGCCGTGTCGTCTGCGAAAGCGGTCAGAGAACACGCTGGGTTTAGGCTCATCGAGAGGTGCTGGTCTGTTTGGAAGACCATCGCGCACTGCAGGACGAACATATGGTGCAGCTTTGCAGGATGCTGTGCGTAGCAGGCATGCCATCTGAAAAAGGATGCTTTCCATGCGATGCGCCTCTTGGCCGCGTGTATGCTGCTATCGAGAGCCTCACCATTGGCGCTGGAAGCTTAGTGACAATGGCGCCTTTGACCGCCACGATCCGTTTGACTCTGTCGCAACCGTTGGTGATGTCGGAGATGCAGTTAATGAGGACGTCGTTGCTCTTTTTGTTGGCTTCCGCACGCGCTAAAAACTTGGCAGCGGCGTCGGTGCAGGGCTTCTGCTTGCCAAGGGCGAAGTCGGGTCGCGCCAGGTTAAGGGCCCAGAGTCGTACGCGACCGAAGGGAACTCGAGACCAAACACGGTATTTGCTAACGAGCAACACGATGGGGTGGAAGCCGCCTTGTTGATCCGCCCGCTGCATATCACGCAGCATCGCCTGAGCCTTTCGGTTGCGCTCCCATCGTCCGGAAGCCGTTCTGCTTGCCATATCGATTCACCATCCCAACGCGTCGCTGGAGAATCCGCTACTGTCTGCTGCGCGTTCTTCATAGGCCTCGGTGAGGTGCTGTCATCGAGGCACTAGTGTAGAGTTGAAGGACTCCGCTCCAGGGGACTCGTGATGCTGCTTCCTGAGCCATAGGAGCCCCCCAGATGACAGTATCCGTGGATATCATGTTCCCACGATGAAGCGAAGACGGTGAACAATTGAGTACTTTGAGGAATCTCTGGTTTTCGGTCAGTTCCTCAGATCCGCGTCTTGGAACCTGTTCGTGGCCGAGGCTCGCCGCGACCAGAACAGCCCCTTCGTTCCTGCATTACGGCGTTCCTTGTGGTAGCACGATGGACGCATGCCAGAACGTGATGGCGGGGGGCGGTCGCTCAGCCAGCTGGTCCGCGATGTCGCGCAGCCAGCGCGCGTCCCCCAAAGCCGTCTCCGAACGGCCAGGGATGCCAGGGAGGGCGGGAGCGAGGGTTGGGGGGAGGCAAGCAAGGTGCGCTCGCGCCACATCCGGCGTCCTGGCCTTCCCGCCCATCCCCTCCCATGGCGCTGATGTTGCTCGATCCGCCGAGGGGCCTCGCAGCGGCCCTGGGGCCCCACAGAGGACCCCATCGCATTCTTTGCGCAATCAGAGCAGGGAGGCCGCGCTGGAGGAGGTGGGGCGGGGACCGATGGAGCGAGGGAGGGTGAGAGGGAGGGGGGAGTGCCGATGATCCTCAGGACGTGTGCTAGCCCAACGTGTGTTTACACCGTTCGGCCTGTGCTGGCCAACGTGGTACCACCTTCGTCGTATCGAATGGCTTCGGTGGACAAGGCTTCGTTTGTGCCAGCACGTTCTGAGGACCATCGGGACGGACGACGAGGAGGGTAGGAGGAGGAGAGGGGGAGGAGGAGGAGGAGGAGGAGGAGGAGGAGGAGGAGGAGGAGGAGGAGGAGGAGGAAACACAAAAATAATAATAATAATAATAATAATAATAAGAATAATAATACGAACCATACTAATAATAATAATACGAAAAAAACGAAGGAGACGAAGAAGACGAAGAAGACACATAATAATAATAATAATAATAATAATAATAATAATACTAATAATAATTCGAATACGAAGACGAAGACGAATACTACTAATAATAATAATAGTAGTAGTAATACTAATACTGGTAATAATAATACTGTTAAGAATAATTCAAACATTCTTATAATAATAAGAAGAATAATAATACGAATAATAATACTACTAATGATAAGAATAATGACAATACGAGCAGTAAGAATACTACTACTAATAATAAGAATGATATTGATAATACTAATAATAAGAAGACTACTAAGAATATTCACAAGCACAATAATACTAATAATAATAATACGAAGAATACTACTACTAAGAAGAATAATAAGAATACTAATAAGAAGAATAAAAAGAATAATAAGAATAATAATTAATAATAATAATAATAATAATATAATAATAATAATAATAATATAATAATATAAATAATGATAGGAGGGGAGGAGGAGGAGGAGGAGGAGGAGGAGGAGGAGGAGGAGGAGGAGGAGGAGGAGAGGAGGAGGAGGAGGAGGAGGAGGAGGAGGAGGAGGAGGAGGAGGAGGAGGAGGAGGGGGAGGGAGTGAGGGATGGAGGGAGGGAGGGTGGTCGGGGAAGGGAGGGAGCGGGGAGGAAGGCGGGGATGGACCGCGAGTAGGCGCTCTCTCTGGGCGGCCTGCGCCCGCCCTCGCCGTGCCCGCGTCGGCGCGCTCGCGGCCGCCAGTGGCACGACGGGCTGCGCTCGGGCCAGGGCACCCTCACCAAGGCCAGCGGCGACACCTACGAAGGCGGCGCGCCCCAGAGGAGGAAGAGGTACCCATACCGCCACCCCTCCATCGTTTTCCCTGGGAGGCGCTCATCGTCACCACTGGATTCGCCTCGCAACCCTGGTCAGAACGCGCCCCAGGACAGGTCCGGGGAGCAGCGGTACTTTTGGTTTCGGCAATGCCCGCGGCGTGAAGAAACACGGCACAAACATAAACGTTCGGAGTTCTGCGTGCTTTTCTCGGATTGGCGCCAGGCCCCCCTGGCGGCGCGCCTCCGCGCTGCCCCTGGCGCGCTCCGCGCGCCAGGGTGAGGGGCCCAGCGCCGATCCAAGAAATGCGCCTTTTGTGATTGTGCCGTTTTTCTTTATCGATGGCTCTATGGTCAGAAGGGGTCGACTGACCACCTCGCCGAGTACGGCCAGGCCCATCCTGAGCCCAGGACAGGTGGCCGTGAGCCCTCCCGGCTCGGTCAGGATCGGTGAGGTGGTCAGTTGACCGGGAGCGTCCAAGAGGGGGTGATGACTACATGGGGGGGGATATCATGGCCAGGGCCATGATATCTCCCCAGGTCTCACGGCCCTTTCTTCTCTTCTTCTTCTTCTTCTTCTTCTTCTTCTTTTTCTTCTTTCAACACGTCCCCTGGCCCTGCCTCGTCTGCGCACATGCCTCGGGCCATGATCTGCGGACCCCCTTGGACGCCCCCCTCTTGGACGCCCCCGAAAGTGGACGTCTGGGTGACTCGCGGGGGCGCGAGGATTAGGGCGCCTCGCGGGTCGCGGTCTGGGCCAGAGCGGTTGCCTTCCTCCAGGGGGGTGGCGCGAGGGCGCTGGGGCGGTAGGAATTTAGGAAAGGTGCGCGTGCGACGTTGAATTTGGGCTTGTCTGCAGGAAGGGCGGGGCCGAGAAATCAGGAAATGGTTTTGCGGGACCAGGTCTGTGATTTTAACCAGAAGGTGCCCCAGAATCCGCTCACTCCATTACAGCGCACTATTTGATGAGAGCCCCCACGGGCGCAGGACAGGAGCAAGGATACGTAGCACCCCGCACTTCCGCATAAAAATGAGGGTGCGGCGGCGCTCCCGCCGGAAGCTTTCGCCCAGGACCCCCCTTGCACGGGACGCCGGCGCCCAGGCCCCCGCGCCCAGGACCCGCCGCCCAGGACCCCCGCGCCCAGGACCCCCCCGCCCAGGATCCCCCGCCGAGGACCCACCGCCCAGCACCCCCGCGCCCAGGACACCCCGCCCAGGACACCCCCCGCCCAGGACCCCCGCGCCCAGGACCCCCCGCCCAGGACACCCCCCGCCCAGGCAGAAGCAGGCCTACAGCGATCACGCACTGGGCCTGCGCAGGATGCGCTCCCGCGCCTCTGGCACTAAAACTGCTGGAGTGCTCGGCGACATCGCCCTCGCTGTCTGCGTCGCTCGGAGAAGCGGAGAGGTGACGACCGCCTGGGGCTTCAGCCTCTTGAGGTTGCACCGCAGGGATCTCGCCTGACGCCTGCCTTTGGCCGTCAGCTGGGTGCCTTGGCGGAGAACGCGTCGCTGACGCTGGTCCGGTGACCCAGGTAAGCTGCCAGGTCGCGAGGAGACGCGAGGCACAACGAGGGGCCGGGCCCCTGGCGCTCCTCTCTCGGCACTGAGGCGGCGCCCCGGGCCCGGGGCCTCCCCGCGGCGCGGGTAGGGGGGGAGGGGAGGGAAATCTCGGTGGCGAAATCCGAACACTGCCCTCGCCGATCAACGCCTCAGACAACTCGAAGTAGGGCGGGGGGGTAGGGGTCGGAATTCGTTGATCACGTGGCGCAATCCGAACCATCCCCCCGCCTCCCGTCGATTCTGGGGAATCAATGGGTTGGTGTGAGTGGGGCTCGGATGTCGCCACCTATGCTGGCTGGGAGGAGGCTGAGGTGGCCCAAGCACTGTCCTTCGGCGTCCCCCGGAGCCGTTTTTGGGCCCTTGGGCCGCCAGGAGTCGATCCAGAGTGGAAGAAAGCGGTCCAAAGGGGTCCCAGAAGTGAAATATGGCCAAGAGTCAGAGAGCGCCTTCCTCTGCAGGACCATCAAAAAAGGACGTCAAGGTGTTCAAGCGCCTCGCCAGTTAAGCCGACGCAGATGTGCAACATCCAACAAGTCGCTATTTAACCCAGAAGAGGTCCCGGGGCTGATTTTGGGCCGATTTGCCCTCGTCCCCCCTCTTGATCGATTTCCTTGGGGCCCATCCAGCGCAGAGCCCCAGGCCAGCTCTAAGAGGGGAAGGCACAGGAACGCCACAGCCTTCTCTGCGAGGAGGGAGCTCCGGACTTCGGAGTGGGGGAGGGAGGAGAAGGTAGGAGGAGGATGAGGAGGAGGATGAGGATGAGGATGAGGATGAGGATGAGGAGGAGGAGGAGGAGGAGGAGGAGGAGGAGGAGGACGCAGGACGCAGCATGAAGCGTGCAAGCCACGAGTCGCGAGCACGCCAGGGCAAGAAACGTAAACTGGGAGAAACCCAGCAAGTTAGGCGCCCAGGATGGCGCCAGTTGGAGGGTGCATGCCGTTCGCGTGCCCAGAGCGACGCCCTCCACAAGAGGCGCCTAGACGCCAACAGTATCAACGTCACGGAGATGACCAAGGACGAGCTGTGAACCTACATCACGGGCAACCCTGAGGTCGAGGCTTACATGAGCGACACTGAGGTCGAGGCTTACATGAGCTTGTTACTTCCGGAAGGCATCACGAGAGCTATCGCATAGATTTACACGGCTCGTCCACCTGCGCCACCTGACCACCTTGTTATTAGTTAAGATTAGGACCAACTGACCGAACCGACGCAACTGCCAAGAAAGACCCAACCAGCAGTGGAATCGGAGCGCATCCAGCAGGATACCAACGATTCCACCAACCTCATGGCCGACTGACCATACCGACACACGACGATCATCCCACGCTCCGCGGCACACACAATAACGCCCAGAATGATCAGCCAACCGACCCATACCATTCGACTAACACACCGACGAGCACCAATCAGACGGCAGCTCACCCCACCGCGGCGGCGGCGCGCCCACCAAAGGAGGATCACCAGAAGGCACCGCCACCAGACAATCAGCTATGGCAAGCAGTGACGACCAAACCCCCATGGCCACGATGCGAGCACGGGGGCCAATCCAACGGGCGCGCACCCTACACCACAGACTACTTTCGCAGCCCAGCTCGCAGACGACAGGCGACATGACCCGGGGACCAACCAGATCAATCCAGCACAGACTGCCCATCAAGCACCAGCCAAGCCGGCCGTCCGACTGCCCCTGCGCGCGAGGGCAATGCTCACATACCTTACAAACCAACTCCACCAACGAGGGCCACTATGCCCACGGCCACCGCATGCATGGCCACCGTACACGAGGGAGCCCAGATGCCCTTCGAGGAGCCACCGCTCGGCATCAGTGCGACGCGATTGGCAGGCTTGCCGACGCCATCGGCAGCATCCAGTACGACCCGAGCTCTCCTCTTTTCAAGATAAGCGCCGGCAAGATTACGAAGGACTGCATCCAGAACATCAACAACCCAGAGGCGCTGCGCGACTGGCCATCGTACCCCACGTCGCGTCCACCGCGTCGAGCACGACCAGGTCATGCACCATGTCCACGACGCCTTACGCAAAAGCTTCGGAGAGCCAGCCGGCTACTGCGCCTCCGCCTTTCAACGTGACGACCAACCAGACGGTGCAAATGCGTTTCACATCCACCGTCTGCGCAGCATCACCGGGTACCGAGCGGCTGAGGACCGCAGAGATCTACCCGCGCTGCGCCGAGCCCGAGGTGACTGCGACGAGATCCACAGCTTCGTCGAGCCCGCCGCGCGATACAACTCGACGGGGACACCAGCACCATTCACCGCCTGTTCTTTCCGGAAGGACATTGCCAAGGACCTGCTCCTCGATGAACTACCTGTTGTTGCAGCGCAGTGTCGAGCGCGGCCCAACCGCCGACCCGGCGCCGCCGAGGTGCTGAGATCCCGACGACAACGACGTACCACCAGGCCCCATCAACAGCCCAGGCCTCCAGGGCACCGCGACAGGCCCAACCTAGCAACGTCGCGCTGGCGTAGGTTCAGGACAGCTACGGCCACCAGCAGGGACCCACTGTTATGTCTGCTACCCACTGGCCATGACACGTTGGCGACCGCCGATCTTTTCTCGCGACGGACAACCAGCAGCTGAGGCAGCTCCCGATGGCACAGTGCACCTTCCCGACATCCATGCTGGAGGGCATGCCGCCGCCGCGACCATCTAAAACCTAAGACCAAGTCATGATGACCGACCGGGCTGCGCCCAGCAGCGAGCTCCACCTAACCGACGCGAGACTCCCCGTACTGCGTTCCGAGGCTACGGCCATCCAGGACCACGGCGAGGACGAGCGCTTCCCTGGCTACGACAACATGGACTACATCAGGCCGGAAGCTGGACGCCCAGGCCAGCGCAACCAGCCGCCGCGCGCAGCACGCGCCCGAGGGGGCCGCATTGCAAGCGCACCGCCCCGCAGCGAGCACGCCGCCAGCGTGATCGGCGCCGGCGCGGCGCCCGCTTTAGAGGCGAACTCCACCGGGGCCCGCGACGCAGAGGCCCGCCAGTGCGCCACTCCTCTCCCCGCGCCAATTTTCCCGCTGGCGATCGCAGATTGCTGCCCAATTTTGCTCAGGCAGCGCCGCGCGCCACCAGCTGTCCCAGCGCCGACCCCCGATCGCTGCGCCATCGTTGACCTGGGCCGCCGCGCTCGCTGGCGCGGCAGAAGCATCGGCAGCTGGACTCCTCCCTCTTACGGCACTCGGCACCTCGCCACACCTACTCCCCGACGACGGCAGCGCCAGCGAACGGCGACAGCGGCAACCTCAGGAGGCGCGAAGATAGTGGGTCCACGATGATACATATATATGTATATATATATGTATATATGTATATATATATATATATATATATATATATATGTATGTATGTGTATGCATATGTGTATGTATATGTATGTGTAAATGTACATGTATATGTCTACGTATATGTAAATGCATATGTAGATGTAAATGTACATGTGCATGTCTATGTGTATGTATTTGTACAGGTGCATGTATATGTATAGGTATAGGTGTAGATATAGGTAGACGTATATGCATATGTGTATGTATATGTATATGTGTATGCATATGTACATGTATATGTATATGTCTATGTATATGTAATGTGTATGTATATGTATATGTATATGTATGTGTACATGTATATATATATATATATATGATTTTGTATATTTCTAACAGCGAAGACTGATAGGTTTCTAATGGGGTCAAAAGAGAGCATCTGATAACTCCCCAGAAGGGGGTCTGGGCGGGAGCCGGACAGGCGAGAGCCGGGCTCGTTTTAAGCAAACAGTCACACACTTCGTGCTCTTCGACCTCCCAGACCTCCATTGCCAGGCCACATTTTGGATGCCCGGAGCCAACTGTAGGCCACTTCGTGCTCTTCGACTTCCCAGAACTCCATTCCCGGGCCACATTTTGGATGCCCGGAGCCAAGTGTAGGCCACTTCGTGCTCTTGGACTGCCCAGAATTCCATTCCCGGGCCACATTTTGGATGCCCGGAGCCAACTGTAGGCCACTTCGTGCTCTTGGACTTCCCAGAACACTGCTCCCGGGCCACATTTTGAATGCCCAGAGCCAACTGTAGGCCACTTCGTGTTCTTTCACGTCCCAGAACTCCACTCCTGGGCCACATTTTGAATGCCCGGAGCCAACCGTACGCCACTTCGTGCTCTTCCATTTGCCAGACTTCCAAGACTCATCATCTTCACATCGTCCCCGTGGCCTTCTTGGCTACAGCCCTGCTTTCGAAGATTTCCTTTCAAAGGAACTGCGCAGCGCCTACTGCGCACCTTCATGCCAGGACATAGTGATAGTTCTCGGTATACCGTTATCGAAAGCAGTGTTTCTACTGCTACTACCACTGCTCCCATCACTCCTACTCGTTCACTCCACACACACTACAACTACTACTTCACTGCTACCACTACTGCCATCACTACTACTTCTACTGCTACTACGACTGTTACTATTACTGCTGCTGCTGCTGCTGTTGCTGCTGCTAGTGTAGCTATTGCTACTGCAACTACTGGCAGTGCCACTGCGACTGCGGCTGATGTTGCCACTGCGACTGCCACTGCGAAGCCGACTTCGACTGCGAGAACACCATAATTCTACAACAGCACTCTTACATGAATACCACAGGCAATGTTTCCAGCTATGCTTCTACACATCGTTGTTCGGTTGCTTTGCCGGGATAATCTTTATGTGTAGTCATGTGTATATGTATATGTATATGTATAGGTATTAGTGGTTATATTTGTATATATTTATGTATGTGTATATGAATGTCTATACGTATTTGTATATGCATTTGTTTATGTTTATGTTTATGTATATGTATATGCATTTGTATATGTATATGTATGTTTATATATATGTATATGCATATGTATACGTATATGTATATGTGTATGGACATGTATATGTATATATATATGTGTATAGGTATATGTGTATCTATAGGTATAATGTATATATGTATATATATATATATATATATTATATATATATATATATATATATATATATGTATATATACGCATATGTGTATATATATCCATATGTATACGCACATGTATATGTTTACGTACATGTTTATGCATATGCATACACACATATATGTATATATATGTATGTATGTGTGTGTATGTGCATGTATATGTATATGTATATGTGTATGAATTTGTATATGTATATGTATATGTATATGTATATGGATTTGTGTATGTGTATGTGTATGTGTATGTATATGCACATGTAAATATATATGTATATGTATATGCATATGTATACGTATATGTATATGTCTATGTCTATGTCTATGTGTATGTATATGTCTATGTCTATGTCCATGTATGTGTATATATATGTACGTATATATATATATATGTATGTATGGCTTCAAACCCCGCCGTGGCTTTTCACCTACAGTTTATCCCACGTACCACCTGCACATACGGCGGCTGCAGCCAAGAACGGGCTATGCTACGCAGTGGGTACAATGTCAGACATGGTCCCCAAACCCGCCGCGGCTTTCATCCACGCATGCTGGTCACTCCGCGCGCTGCAGAATCACCAGCGACATCTGGCCGCATGGGTGGAACAACCCACTTCAAGACTGGTGGGTCGATCTCTCTCATGCACCTCCTCGGTGGCGGCCTTCATTGCCGGCTCGGTGCCAGGGCCTCGGGGGCGACGGCGCGAAGGGCCCATTTCTTAGCCGTCAAAGAGCCCTCGCCCAACCTTCTCTCCTTTCTGGCTCCACCTCCACCCTGGAGGGTTTCTCCGAAGGGCTTATGCGACCCCTCCTCCTCCTTCTACTCCTCCTCCTCCTCCTCCTCCTCCTCCGCCTCCCGTGTACTCCACCCTTTTGCCCCGCGTCCCCCGCCGTTCGCCCCCCGAACCTACCCTTTCCCACTCGTGTCGCGGAGGAGCGGGCGGGGGTGCTGGGAGCGAAGGGGGGCCAGCCGCAGCGGACTGCCCTGGCGAAGGTCGGGGCGGCCGCGGCCAGCAGAACCGCCAGCCTGCCCAACCTCTTGTCGTTTTTTGCTTGTCACGCATGGGCAACTATCTTTGTATCCACCTCTTGCCTGTCTCACCGCTTTGCAGTCATCCGTCTCAGCCTGCCCCTCGCACTTTCGCATTCCCATTTTGCAAGCTTTGCCCGGCAGGCGCACGTCGGACGCTCGCCGCCCTGGCGGGGGCAAGGGCAGCCGCGGCAATCAGAATCGCAATATGGGGACCTGGTGGTTGTGGAAGGGGGAGGGCTTCGCGCAGCCTTGGCTGAGGCCCAAACAGCCGCGGCGCCGGCTGCCAGCCCCCGCCCACGCCGCTTGCAAAGGGGGGGGAGCGCCAGGGCGGGGGGATGCTGCGCCGCGGCACTGGGGCTGCCGCAACAGCATGGCGCAAACCTCCCCTAGCCCGGTGGGGATCTCTGGGTGGCACCCAGTCGCGCCCATGGTGACCCTTTGCTTGCCTCGGCGGGCGAGGGTTCCCTGGCCTCGACTGGGGGGCGTCCCGCTGGGATCCCTTCTTGCGCCATCCGATCCTGGGCGGGTGTGGCCCCAGCTGCGCTCGCCCACCTCTTTCCCGCTCTTGGTCCAGTATCGCGCATCCCTCGCGCATTCACGCTGCCGCGTGCCAGCACTCCCTTAGCCTAACCTCGTTTGCCACTCTTCACGCTCTTTGCGCCTGACCGTATGAGGGGGTGGAGTGGATCCAGCATGGGGGGGTACACTCGGCGGCCGCCGCCACCCGATGGCGCAAACCTCCCCAAGCTTGGTGGAAACCCTGGTGCCCCCCCCCCAGCTTTTCCCTGGGAGTCCTTCGCCCCCCTCGGGTGGGTGAGGGTTCCTTTGGTGGGACTGGGGTTGTCCCTGTGGGGCTTCCTACAGGGTGGGGACATGCCCTTGCGCCATCCAGCTGGGCTAGTGTGGCCACAGTCTCACTTTCCAACTCACCAGCCGCCACCTGCCGCTCCCCGCTCCTCCTCTCCCCCTCCCTTTCAGGTTAGTCGCTTTCTATGTCGTCGCCGTGCTTTGTTCCCCTTTCCTTCTCGCTCCCTTCCCCAGGTCGCCGGGGGACCTAGATCCCGCCCCCGGGGACGCTTGTCGGCTCGCGTTACCCAGTATTGTTTTTGCCACTACTAGTTTGATCCCCCCCCCAGGGGCGACTGAACCTGGGGGGGATGGCTGCGTTTGAACGAGCCCAGAGCCAACAGCTCGAAGGAGGAGGGGGAGGAGGAGGAGGAGGAGGAGGAGGAGGAGGAGGAAGCAAAAAAGGAGGAGGAGGAAGCAGAGGAGGAGGAGGAGGAGGAGGACGACGAGGAGGAGGAAAAGGAGGAGGAAAAGGAGGAGGAAAAGGAAAAGGAGGAGGACGAGGAGGAGGAGGAGGAGGAGGAGGAGGAGGAGGAGGAGGAGGAGGAAGAGGAGTAACTGGAGGACGAGGAGGACGGGGGAGGAGGAGGGCAAAGGGCAACGGGGGTAGGCAAGAGGTCCCCCCTCGCGAGACGGCCACCTCCCCGCCGCCGAGCAGCACCCCCCCCGCCGCGGGCGAGGCTGCTGGCTCGACGACAAGCGCGAAGGCCCCCGGGCCTCTCTGGCCTCGCCCGGCTTTTGTCCGCCCTCCTCGAGGATCGAGGTCCTCGGTTTTTGTTGCGTCCTTTGTCGTTTTGCGGCTCGAGTCGACTCGAGCCTAAGCGCGCGAAGCGCGCGCGTGGTTCCAGTATTATATCAGCCCGCGCTTAAGGCTCGAAATAAATACATGATTGCGGTTGCGTTTTGCGGTACGCTGCATTGGGAAGTACAGCCAAGACGCTGACATCGATTCAGTTCGGGCTCAGAAGAGGCTTGCTTGCATGCCCTCGCAGTTTTGCCGGGGCGCCCCCTCGGCGTTCCTTGGGTCACGGCGCGCGCGGAATTGACTCGCCAGACGGGGCCATTGATCTGCGGAACTGTCCCTCGAAGAGGGGCTAGGTGCACTGCATGAACCCTGGACTGTGCGACTGCGTGGTGGACTTCGAAGCCAGAAGCAAAGCAGATACACCGGCCATCGCATTGCATCGGTGCAGCGCTGCCTGCCAAGCATAGACCCGGGGCTGTCGCGCTATCGAGCCAATCAACAGAGGGCCTGTCTCGATCCGATCGATCCGACAAGATATCGTGTTCGGCTGTTACGATCCGATTCGATTCCGATGTCCCGCCGATCCGATGCAGCTCGACGCCTACATGGCGTTGTTGTGCATCCTGCTGCAGCCGATCCGATTCGATTCTGACTCCGTGCCGATGCGGCCCGATCCGACGCACATTCCGATTTAGTTGCGAAGGGCTTACGGCCGGTGCCGCCGACCCCGAATGGGGACAACGACGACGACGGCGACGACGACGACGCTGACGTGGGTCAGAGTCCTCAGGGATGATGCTTGGGGTCTCTTCGGAGCGCTCAAAGAGGCCTCTGGGGGGCAGTTTGGGGGCATCTTAGGAGCATCGAGGGGGCCTCTTGGCAGCCTCGTGGGAGCCTCTCGGGGCTCCCTGGGGGCCTTTTGGGCCCTCTTGGGGCGTCCTGGGATCCACTCGGGGCCGAGGGCTCCAAATGTCTGTTCGGTTCCCCCGTCAGGGCCCTGCTGGAGACTCTTGGGGCGCCGGCCGGCGGCCTCTCGGGGGTCTCGTGGAGAACTCTTGGGCACTTCTGCGGGCTTCCAGGACCGCGCGGGGGGACAGCGTATCTGGGTGGGGACCCCTCCCGGGCCCCCCTGGACCCCACCCCCCGCGGGGAAGGGATCAAAGGGAAGGGACTTCCTTTCGACTTCACTCCGACGTTGCTCAGTTTTGCTTCGGATGGCGCGGTTGAGGAGGAGGAGGAGGGCACATTCCGATTCGATTCGATTTTCCGATTTGATGCCGACTGATCTTGACAAGCCAGGCGCTCTGGGGCATGGCTCGTTTCCTCGCGATTCGGACCAAAACGCAGCGGCAAGTTGGTGTGTTTGTTCCCCAAACAGCTTGCTGAACGGGGTGCTGTTGTGATTGAAGCTAACTCCGGCCGAGGGAAGTCGGAGCGGAGACATCCTTACAAAAATTTGATGGTCCGGGCCGTTTCGCTTGAGACATCCTCACAACTCTCGTTTCTGAGTTGGCCGGGATTGGCCGTTTCGCCTGAGACATCCTCGAAAAGTTGGGCTCCGGGACGCCGCGCGAGAGGTGGTCCGGGCCGTTTCGCTTGAGACATCCTCGAAATTCTGAGCCCCGAGGTGCCGTGCGAGAGGTGGTCCGGGCCGTTTCGCCTGAGACATCCTCGAAACTCTGAGCTCTGGGATGCCCTGCGCGAGGTGGTCCGGCCCGTTTCGCCTGAGACATCCTCGAAACTCTGACCTCGGAGATGCCGCGCGAGAGGTGGTCCGGCCCGTTTCGCCTGAGACATCCTCGAACTTCTGAACTCGCCTGAGACATCCTCGCAACTCTGAGCTCTGAGATGCCGTGCGCAAGGTGGTCCGGCCTGTTTCGCACAAGACGTTCTCGCAATTCTGAGCTCCCAGATGCCGCGCAAGAGGTGGTCCAGCCTGGGGGCCCAGAACACCACATGTTACATATCCTCCCTGGGACCCTGGGAGCCCGCCTGAGACATCCTCGAACTTCTGAGCTCTGAGATGCCCTGCACGATGTGGTCCGGCCCGTCTCGCCTGAGACATCCTCGCAACTCTGAGCTCTGAGATGCCGTGCGCAAGGTGGTCTGGCCCGTTTCGCACAAGACATTCTCGCAACTCTGAGCTCCCAGATGCCGCGCAAGAGGTGGTCCAGCCTGGGGGCCCAGAAGACCACATGTTACATATCCTCCCTGGGACCCTGGGAGCCCCAGGAGGCCCCAGAGAGCTCCAGGAGGCCGCAGGACGCCCAGGACAGGCCCCAGGGGTCCCCAGGAGATTCCCAGGAGGCTCCCAGGAGGCCCCAGGAGGCCCCCTATCAGAGCGTGTCAAGTTAATACACATCCGGTGTCGATTCGTTGATTTTTCCTGCTCTTGTGGCCCCCCCTCCATTTTGAGAGGCCCAAGCGGCCACAGGTTAGATATCCCTCCTGGGAGCCCCAAGAGGCTTCAGGAAACCCCAGGTGGAGTTCAGGAGGCCACAGGAGGCCCAGGAGGAAGCCCCAGGAGGTCCCCAGGAGGCCCCAGGAGGCACCAGGAGGCCCCCGCAACTCGGAGCTCTGAGACGCCGCGCTCGAGGTAGTCCGGCCCGTTTCGCCTGAGACTTCCTCGCAGCGCGTTTCGCCTGAGACACTGGCCCGTCTCGCCTGAGACATCCTTGCAACTCTGAGCTCTGAGATGCCGTGCGCAAGTTGGTCCTGCCCGTTTTGCACAAGACGTTCTCGCAACTCTGAGCTCCCTGGGACCCTGGGAGCCCCAGGAGGCCCCAGAGAGCTTCAGGAATCCGCAGGACGCCCAGGACAGGCCCCAGGGGTCCCCAGGAGATTCCCAGGAGGCTCCCAGGAGGCCCCAGGAGGCCCCCTATCAGAACGTGTCAAGTTAATACACATCCGGTGTCGATTCGTTGATTTTTCCTGCTCTTGTGGCCCCCCCTCCATTTTGAGAGGCCCAAGCGGCCACAGGTTACATATCCCTCCTCGGAGCCCCAAGAGGCTTCAGGAAGCCCCAGGCGGGGTCCAGAGGCCACATGAGGCTCAGGAGGAAGCCCCAGGAGGTCACCATGAGGCCCCAGGAGGCCCCAGGAGGCCCCCGCAACTCGGAGCTCTGAGACGCCGCGCTCGAGGTGGTCCGGCCCGTTTCGCCTGAGACTTCCTCGCAGCACGTTTCGCCCGAGACATCGTCGCAACTCTGGGGTCCGAGATGCCGCGCGCGAGGTGGTCCAGCCCGTTTCGCCTGAGACATCCTGGCAACTCTGGGCTCCGAGATGCCCCTGCGCGAGGTGGTCCGGCCCATCTCGCCTGAGACATCCTCGCAACTCTGAGCTCTGAGATGCCGTGCGCAAGGTGGTCCAGCCCGTTTCGCACAAGACATT